GTTAGCATCCTGCCCCTGGGATACACACCGTGTACACTCCCCTGCCTTGCAGGTGGGAGGAACTGTGAACATGGTGGGAGATAGTGTTGCATAAGGCAAAGGTGAAGGGATTTTACAGATGCAATTAAGGCATCTCATCAGCTGACTGAGTTCATCAAAAGGGAGATCTTCCTGGGTGGGCCTGGCCTGATCAGGTAAACCCCTGAAGGATGGGAGAAGTCAGAGAGGAAAGGAAGAGGGGAGACTCTCGCGTAGACGCCTTGGGAGGCAAACTGCCATGCTGGGAAGAGGGCCACTGGGCAGGGGCTATGAGCAGTCTCCAGGAGCCAAGCGCCACAGGCCTATGGCCACAAGGAACTGAGCTCTGCCAAGAGCCAATGGGCTTGAAGAGCACCCTCAGTCAGATGCGACGGCAGCCCCTGCTCAATACAGGCACCTTAACTACTGACACTTCAAGGAACAGAATCAGGGGCTCAGGCTTCTGAACAGAGGCTGACACCCCTTCGACAACTGTCCGATTCCACCAGGGAAATGAGCTGGGCTCACCATGGCTTTGCACCCAGAAGCACATGACTATGAAAACTTGACAGATGAGCCACCACCCAGCAGACAGGAAGTAGGACTGGAGGAGCTGGCACGGAAACGCTGATTGTGGCTTTGGAATATTGTTAGTACTCTCTTTAATGGTGTATTTTCTAATGTGCGCACAAGGAAGCCCCTTTTCTTTCTCCTTCGTCTATCTCTAGCCCTAAATCCAGTAGACTCTGCTCTCTGCTTTCAAAGCTGAAATAAAACACTGTTTAGGTGACATCTCACTCTCCTGAACTTTCAGAATTCAGGAATACTCATGCTAAGACACTTTACTCTTCCTGACAATGGAGTTTATTGTATAGGTTCAGTAAGAATGTGTCCTCCTTTATAATTGGATGTAACTGGACAAAAAAAAAGTGCCACCAATCCCACATCTGGAGTGTCACATCTGAAAGTGAATCTCACATCCCCTAAGCTCATCCACAGGAAGGATCTGTGCCCTGTGGAGCCAATGCCCACACAGCCCCACAAGGGAGCAGGCCTCGTCCCTGTTCTATACTTTATGGGGGCCCAGAAAATTGTGAGGGCCTCAAGTTAAAGAAGTTCAACATTTTTAAAGACTATGGGCAAAACCTGGTGTGGATACATTTCTTGGGTCTGGCTTCCTAGTGCCAGGGTAGAAGAACAAGTAAAAGCAATCTTAAAACTCTCTGGAACAACAGAGGCTACTGGAAAAGCCATCTTAGTTCCTCACAAAGCTTCAGACAGAAATGAATCCTCTGACCTGGCCAGCTGCTCTCCCCCTGCCCCTCTGCTGACCTTCCAATAGGACGCCATGTGCCTGAGTGCCTCTGAGCGGATGCAAATCAATCAGGCCCAACGCCACACAGGCAGCTTCCTGGTGACAGGGGTCACGCCAGAAAAGCACATTCAGAGAGACTTCTCATTCTTAGCCAAATTTTTACTCTATGTCAGTAATCTTTCCAAATATTTAGATACTAAAACATCACCTTTGCTCAGTTGGTTGTTTCAGTCAGTAAATTACTTTGAAGGAAGAAAAATGTCAAGTTTTTGTCACAGTATCTGAGGACCCAGAATTAGTGTCCTCACAATAACGTGCTTCATTCGAAGGCCCTCGTTGGCCTGACCATCCACCCGGCCTGCCCATCTCCAGAACCTCCACGCAGAGAAGAGCCCTGCAGAGGCTCACGGAGCTCTGCACCAAGACGCCGCCAGGCACCAGGACAGAGGTCAGCACACAGGACGCCCCAGGGAGGGCACCTCCACACTGTGTAAGCCTTGAATGACGGCTCCCTCCTTCTGGCCCCTAGAGCCCCCGTGAAAAGCCCTAGCCCCTAAAGATGCAGCTGCCTCTTGGCACTGGGCTCCATGCCCCTCCTCACTTCTCCTTTCAGTCAAGGCTTCAAGAGAACTCTAGTTCCTGACCAGTCGGTCAGGCGGCCACACCACACTGTGCACAGAGCAGGAGGCAGCAGCGATGCCTGGTGGTAGCAACAGGTAGCAACGTGAGAAGTGGCTTAGGCGCCATAGTGACATGGGCACTCCTAAACCTCCTGGAGGGAGCAGGGCCAGCCCGGAAACAAAGAATGGTCCTGCACAAAAGGACTTCCATGCAGGTGGAAAGGCTGTTCATAATTCTCTAAGCCCAGGCCCAGCTGAGTTGTGGATTCACACAATGTGTTTTTCTATACTTTTAACACATACTCAATGTTCCAGAAACACAGAGACTATCTAGAGACAGGGAAGACCGAACACTGCTTCCCTCAGGGTTCACCATTTCAGAAAGTAATGCCACTCAGCTCTATTGCTTACGGTTTTCAGGTCACCGGCTCGGTACCCCGTATCTGCCTGCACTGACAGGTCCACTCCACTCAGTGGTCCAAGGGAAAGCAGCAGTGCCTAAATATTCACTCAGTGGCATAGAAAAGTATTTTATTATGTATCTTCAATTTATCTTTATATTACATTTGGGCATGACACGGCTTTTTAACATTATATGGCTATAATTATATAAGGTAATAGCTTCTACGAACTTCATTTTAAAATAAAAAGATGAGTTAATAAATATTTGTTACAAAAAGAAGATGTGGTGTGTGGTGGCAATGAGAAAGACTAAGAAAGCTTTCCAAGTTTAAACAAGAGTCAAGGTTTCCTGAAGCCCTCCCCAGCAATTCCCCTTAAGCAGGGGAATTACTATAGAAATTCTACCTAGTGTATCCCCCCAAGGTGTTCCAGCCTCAGAAGATAATCTCATGTATAAAAACACAAGAAATAACTTCAGTCTTTCCAAGCAAAAAGAAAGGCAAAAACAATGAGTCTGCCTAAAACTAAAAATAACACCCCACACCCACCTACAGTGCGACCCGTGGCTACACTGCACAGACAGCACTAAGGCAGGACCAGGAGGGAGGCTCAGAGGGAAACCAGACAGTGCAGTGAGGCTGAGGATGGCCGTGCTTCCAAAGATTTTCCAGCTAAAATCTTTCATGTTTATTTATTTTTATTTAAACCACCCTGAAAAGGGAAAAGAACAACACACCAAACTGTTTGCTGCCGAAATTAGCTCTTATTTTATGAAAAAAAGGAAATACACGATTTCTATTCGCAGCTAACATTTAGTAACACAGAATCAGGAGGAGGAGATGTGACTCATCATGTCGTAATATTTTATAAATTCCAGCTCTTCAGTTTTGCTTTCTCAGCACATGCTTTAGATATCTCCTTCTGGCCTGATTATTTTTTCTATGCTTTTAAGAACAATTTATTGGTGCAAAGGATTATAAATAATTCATTTCTCCAATGCACAGTTACATTATATAAAAATACTTGCTATTTCACATATATGGCATAATTAATGCAATGCTTTACTTCTGTGGCATGTTAAAAATAGGTAATCACAAATCAACACTTAACTTAGCAATATTAAACCACAATGTCTCTTTCAGACTCATTCCAACTCTGGGATCCTCATTCTTTCAATAACCTCTGGTTACAGAGAAGTTGATTTCCTATCACTAATTAAGCTAAAAGAAGCGCTACGGCTGAAAATAAAATTCCATCCCACTGGCACAAGCCACAATAAAGGTGACCTGATTTTGACCTTCCCATACTTGGACTGCCTGTGTACCCCCCAAAAAAAAGCATCGGTTGAAGATAAAACCTCCTTTAAAGGTCTCACTAGGGAACCAGTTACCTGAAATTCCTGATACTTATAGACAAAAATGGTAAGCAGGATCTTTGCTGGCACAAACTCAAAACCCAGTAGTCAGACATGGGCATGTCTCTACTCCCCAAAGACAGTGTCCCTTGTAGGCTCCCAGTCACTCCCATCCGTCCACACTCACGCCCCGGTGACCGCTCCCTCCGCACGGTTCTGCATGCCGTCCAGAACTCCCAGGTGGGAACACGTCTGTCCCCTCCCTCCATGTCTAGTGAGTGGCTCACATGAAAGCTGCCAAGCAAGCTTCTGGTCCCTGCCATGCCCAGAGGGCACCTGAGGCCCAGTGGGCGCTTGTCAATATCCACAGAGCAAATGAACACAGGAGCACACCTGCGTTCTTCAAGCCAGCAGCAGCCCTCTGACACTTCCTCCTTCCCCTCATCTCATCTGAATCCATGAACAAGCTTCCTTGGAAATGTACAACTGGACTTCCTGAGTTAGTCACTCAACTGCTCATAAGTAAATGAACCTGACACCATACTAATTTTACTGGGATTTTAGTATTTGTCACAGCTTCTCTCAAAAGCTGATGCTGAATCATGGGATAGTCACCAAAAACAAGTACTAAAGAAATGTTCTTTTTTGCTTTATTTATTTTTTTTTAGAAAGAGTCTTGCTCTGTCACCCAGGCTGGAATGCAATGGCGTGATCTCAGCTCACTGCAGCCTCCACCTCCTGGGTTCAAGCAATTCTCCTGCCTCAGTCTCCCGAGGTTGGGACTACAGGCGTGCACCATCACACCCGGCTAAATTTTGTGTTTTTGGTAGAGACAGGGTTTTGTCATGTTGGCCAGGCTGGTCTCGAACTCCTGGCCTCAAGTAATCTGCCTGCCTCAGCCTCCCAACGTGCTGGGATTACAGGAAAATTTTCTTTTAATTGCTCCTAAGAAAATAATAATTGATGGTAAAAGGCTTGCACCAAGTCTAGTGCCTGGCATGAAGCACTGACTCAATAAATGGTGAACTGACCCCGAAGAGGGCAGCAGGTGCTGCACACGCCACCGGAGGGCAGCAGGCGCCGCCCCAGAACCAGCAGGAGGGACTCATGGGTGAGCTAAGGCTGCAGTAAAATTAGAAATGAACCAACAGTAACGGATCATCTGTCCTGGGAAGTATTCGATAAGGCATCTTTCAAAGGCAAGCCAAAAGGCTTAATTAAGCAGTTTATATCAAGAAAAAGGCATTTCTACCAGTCAGATTTGATCAGATCTTTACAGGTTTTTACTCACCTTGAAATCTGTCTAGCTTTATGTCTGCTCTGATCCCAAGGCAGCTTCCTTCAGTGCGAGTGGACTGAGAGGATATCTCAGCAGGACTGAAGTAACTAGAACTCTGCAGTTGGCCAGCATCAATCTCCTTCAGTCGCCCCTTAAGCACTCCATGATAGCTTGAAAGACTCCACTCTGCATAACAGAGAGATTCAATTACTTCAAACTTGTTTGATTCAGTATCAAAAGCTTTGTCACCATTTCAGAAGTGAACTCTATAACAATAAATACTCTCCATTAAAAGTCTCCTAAATACAAGTTAAAGTTATTTTAAATGTATTCTTCTGAATCTGTAAAGGGGATACGCGCAATCCATCATGTCTCCTTCCATCTGCCTGCCGCAGGGAGAGGCACACACGACAGACGGAGCCAGATCGTTGCCGGTCCAACATCTCGGCATCAGGCGGCATCAGGCGGCACCAGGCCACACACTGAGGAGTGGAGCCTCAGGCAGAATCTCACATGTACTCATCCTTTTTTACAATTAAATATGCAAACGCCCCTACAATGCACGCATGTGAACGTGAGTCCAGGTACAGAGACGCACCATCCCCACACTTGCTCTGCCCAGGTTTGGAAGCTACAGGCCACCGCCTGCTTCTGAAGCAGAGGCTGTGAAACAGTATCTCCATCTCATTTCTGCTCTGTGTGAAAGCGTTTTCAACCAGCAAGCCATTAGAGAAAATATCTCAACATGCTAATATACTTAAAAACCTCACTATGGAGTATTAACATTTTCTTCTTGAAAAGCAAACTGATATCCAAAAGAAGGGGAAGTCTGCAATGGGTTTCTCCACTGCAGAATTCCAAAGAGAAGTTTCTGGGAGCTGTGTCCAGGGGTGAGTGGGATTCTGAGTAGGAACTCGGAGGAAGGAGGTGAAGTGTGGAGGATGAGGTGCGCATGAAAGTGGCTCGGCTCTCGCTATGCAGACTTGGCCAGGCCATCACAATGCGTTCCTGTTGCCCCGGTCGCTGCTGCAGTCCTCAGAGGAGATTGGAGGCTACCTTCCAAACCTCCCACCTGTGGCCAGTTGATATTCATCTAGAACACACGTCAGCTCGTCTGCTGGGACAGACCTAAGACACAGAGACAGGCTCACCTGTGTCCTGCACTAGCACAACCAAGTCAAATGGGCTGTCACTGAAAATGCTCTATCAGCCTGGAATTATAGGTCACAGAGTCATCTTGTCCAGCACAGAGAATGAGGGCCACATGTCCAGAACTGTCCCCACTGTCAATGACCCCCATCATCACCACACCAGATTCAAGTTCCCAAATCACCCTCCACAGCGGTCCCAATCAGCAGGCCTGGGTGGAGAGTATCAAGAAGCGCAAGGACGTTGGCCTCTGACCTTTAGCGCTGCCTCCACTCAATCCAAATCAAGCTCCACCACAGCCCCTCCCCAGTGGGCAGAGAACAAGGCCCCCCAGTGAGCATGAGCCAAGCAAGCTTCTCTGGAGATGGCACCTAGCCCCTCTCTCAACCCAAAAAGCCACAAAGAAGTAAAATCCATTCTAGAAGCTTTACACACCAAAAAGTCCACCGCCTAAACAGAGAAAGAAAAACACAGCAGAAAGGACATGAAACCAAGATTTACAGAACTGGGTTCTTCTAGTGCCCACATCACGTCCCACCAACTCTGCAAGCCTGGCCAAGAAATCCGACCTCCCTGGGCCGTCTACAGGATAGGAAACTGCATGGGAAGCCCAACCACTCTGGGGAGGGAGCAGGTGATACGCAGGGCAGGTTCTGGAAGCTGCAAAGTGTAAACGTCAAGTGCGAGAATGGTTGCCTCTAATTTGAGCATACTCATACCAACTGAGGTAAAACTGTCATACTTGCCAGGGGTATTGCAAGGGGTTTCAGGAAAAGCATGGCTTCCAGGAAAGAGGGGTCCAGGCCACCACCCTAGACCACAGCCTTGCAGCCGTGTGACTTGAACAGTGACTCAGCCCCTTCCAGGCTTGCTCCTATGAGGACAGGATGAGGACACAAGGAACACCCGCCGCAGATGGTGCCGTGAGGATTAAATGGAGGAACAGATGTAGAGTGCTTGGCCCCGTGACTAAGATCACAGTAGGGGTGCAACAAAAGATGGTCAAAAACACCGGAGTCTCTTTTGTCATGGAGGGAGTGGAGAGGAGCAGGTGACAGAGACAGCAGCTGAAAAAACAAAACAGAGGAGAGATGGAAGATCTGCACAACACAATTAACAAGCTGCATGGCGGTCACAAGCAAGACACTGCTCCTAACGTGCATTATACATCAGTTCCTCAAGGACACATGAACCACTTCTAAAAATAGACCATATCCCAGTCATAAAGAAAATCTCAACATATTTCAAGTGGCTGAAATCAGACAGAGCTCATCCTCTGATCACAATACAATGAGCCTAGAAATTAATAACCCAAGTATAACTAGAAAGTCCCCATATGTTTGAGAGTTAAGCAATACACTTCTACGAAAGAAAATAATCACAGCAGAAAACAGAAAATATTTAGAAGTTAAAACTAGAAAAGATTATGTACGGAACTGTGCGGCACACAGATAAAGCAGTACATCAGAGGGACATTTATAGCTCGGTGCTCAAACTAGAATAGAAGTAAAAAAATTGGCCGGGCGCGGTGGTTCACGCCTGTAATCCCAGCACTTTGGGAGGCCGAGACGGGCGGATCACGAGGTCAGGAGATCGAGACCATCCTGGCTAACACGGTGAAACCCCGTCTCTACTAAAAAATACAAAAATCTAGCCGGGCGAGGTGGCGACGCCTGTAGTCCCATGGCGGGAACCCGGGAGGCGGAGCTTGCAGTGAGCTGAGATCCGGCCACTGCACTCCAGCCTGGGCTACAGAGTGAGACTCCGTCTCAAAAAAAAAAAAAAAAATTAAAGAGGGCCTACCTGAACAAGTCAGGGAAAGAAGAACAAAGTAAGCTCAAAGAAAAGAGAAAAAGGGAACTAGTAAGAAATTCAATCTGTATTAATTACATATAATGGCAGGTACACAAAGATCAACATTGGTTCTTTGAAAAGACAATGCAGTGAACCAGTGATCTCTGGCAAGACTCATGGAAACACAGAGAGGGAACACAAGAGGAAAAGCCCAAAATTAACCAGCCTTGGAATTGAATCAGAGGGCAGGAAGGCCTGATGGCCACAATGCTGTGACTCTCCTGTCCTTGTGTGGGAAGATCTCACTCGCCCCCAGTGAGTCCAAGCAGGCGGGTGACTGCTCTGGCCCATCGAATGCAGTGGATGTGGTACTGCCAGGTCCAGACCTGCACCGGAAGAGGATGTCTGCTTCTACTTCCTGTTTCTTGGAATACCGTCTCTGGGGAGCCAGCTCAGATGCTCTGAAGAGATCACAGCGGCCACATGCAGAGAAAGATGTCTAGTCAGAGAAAGATGTCTGAGAAGAACCAAGAAAGCCAGCCAACAGCCAGAACCAGAGCTCCAGACACTCAGGCTACCTGGCTGGGCATTATAAAGCGATTGTTGTTTTATGCCACTAAGTTGGGAGTGAGTTATCAGGCAGCAAAAGAAACCAAAATGGAATTATCACTTAAACTCTGACAACACTAAAAATGTAATAAGAGGCTTTATAAATTTTATTCCATAAAGCTCGTAAGCTTAGGTTAAATAAAGAAACTCCAAGAGAAATACAACTTATTAGGCTGGGTGCGGTGGCTCACGCCTGTAATCCCAGCACTCTGGGAGGCTGAGGCAGGTGGATCACTTGAACCCAGGAGCTCAAGACAAGCCTGAGCAACATAGCAAAACCATCTGTCCTACAAATACAAAGATCAGCCAGGTGTGGTAACACGCAGCTGTCATCCCAGCTACTTCAGAGGCTGAGGTGTGAGAAATCACCTGAGCCTGAGTGGTCGAGGCTGCAGTGAGCTGAGATTGCATCACTGCACTCCAGCCTGGGCAACCAGAGTGGGACCCGGTCACACACACAAAAATCACCATTTAAAAAGAAAAGAAAAGAAATATAATCTATTAACACGGACTCAGGAGGAAATAGAAAATCTGACAAAACCACAAACATTAAAGAATTAGAAGCCAGGAGCAGTGGCTCAAGCATGGAATCCCAGCACTTTGGGAGGCCGAGACAGGCAGATTGCTTGAACCCAGGAATTCAAGATCAGTCCTGGCAACATAGTGACACCTGTCTCTACAAAAAAATAAAGAAAATTAGCCAGGTGTGGTGGCATGCACCTGTAGTCACAGCTACTCAGAAGGCTGAGGCAGGAGGATCGTTTGAGCCCAGGAGGCAGAGGCTGCAGTGAGCCAAAATTGCACCATCACACTCTAGAGCCTGGGAGACAGAGTGAGACCTTGTCTCAAGAAAAAGAAAAGAGAAGAAGAGGCAGGGAAGGAAGGAAGGAATGGAGGGAGGGAGGGATGGATTATAGTTAGTAAACAAAAATCATCCTAGAAAGAACACTCCACGCCTAGATGGCTTCTCTAGAAAGTGAATCCAGCATTCAACACGACACTTCCGTGAGGAAGATGAGAAGGAAGCAGTAAGTCAATCTTACAAATACAGATGTAAACATCCTATACAAAATGTGATCACACTCAATCCAATAATATTTTTTAAAGTGATCAATCGTGATTAAATTGAATTTATGATGGGAATGCAAACATGATTTAATGTATGAAAATCAATTTAGGTAATCTACCTCATTAATAAATCAAGAGAAACACAAAAGAATATATTGATGACTCCCCTTAGATAAAGTTCCATCACAGGCAAAACTGAACTACATTGATTGGGGATGCATTCTTACATGGTAAAATTAAAAAGAAAAGGACAGGATTATTTCAAAATATAGGATATCACTAAACACAGTGGCTCACACTTATAATCCCAGCACTCTGGGAGACCAAGGCAGGAGGATCACTTGAGGCCAGGAGTTCAAGATCAGCCTAGGCAACACATGGAGACCCCATCTCTACAAAAAATAAAAAATTAACGAGACATGGTGGTGTCTGCCTGTGGTCCCAGCTACTCAGCAGGCTAAGGTGTAAGGACTGTTTGAGCCTGGGAGTTCAAGGCTGCAGTAAGCCACAATCCTGCCACTGTACTCCAGCCTGAGGGACAGAGTGAGACCCTGTCTCAAAAACAA